GGACAACTGGATATCCATATGCAAAACAAATTATGTTGGATTCCTACCTCACACCATATAAAAACTCAGAATGAATCAAAGCAAGTGTTGGCAAGGATATGGAAAAACTGGAACTCTTGTATAATGCTGGTTGGAATGTACAATGGTACAGCTGCTGTGGAAAACAGTATGGTGGCTCCTCAAAAAACTAAACATAGAATTACCATTTGATCCAAAAATTCCACTTTTGGGTATATACCCACAAGAAGTGAAAGCAAGGACTTGCACAGGTTATTTGTAGGTTCCCATTCACAGCAGCATTATTCACAACAGCCAAGAAATGGAGGCAATCCAAGTGTCCACCAACAGATGAAAGGATAAAGAAAATGTGTTATATACTATAACAGAATATTATTCAGCCTTCAAAAAGGGGGAAACCATGTCATATGCTACAACATGGATGAACCTTAAGACATTACACTAAATGAAATAAGCTAGTCACAAAAAGACAAATTCTACATGATCTACTTATAGGTATCTAAAGGGGTTAAACTCATAGAAACACAGTAGAACAGTGCTTTCCAGGAGCAGGGGGAAGGGGAGTTACTCTTCTGTGAGTGTAGAGTTTCAGTCATGCAGGATGGGAGGGTTCTGGGGATCTGTTGCACAACAATGTACATGTAGTTGACAGTACTGAACTATAAACTTGGAATTTGGGGGAGGCTAAATTGAGGGAAATTGTAGTTCAAATGAGGCAAGGTGATACACAGTAAGCCAAAAAGTAGCTTGAAACAGGTTTAAGTCTACTCTTCCAAATAATGGAAGATAATTGAAATTTTATCACCAAATTATTGTTGACCTGAAAATTGTTGTTCTGAAATATCAATATTATGGCAAGCTCAAAAGCCTGGATAAGACAAAATATGATAATTTCTAAAGAGAAAAACAAGCAATGTCTAGAAATTCCAGACCAGACTGATTCCTTGCAAAATTCAAAACTAGGTTAAACAAAATGTTTGTAAAGTTAGAATAGAAAAAACCCAGAAGATTCATCATGAACAACTGAAACCAAATTAACTGCAATGTCTATGCTGATAAGTTTACTTCATTGAAGGTAAGAACTCTGTAAGGCACCATATAGCTTAATTATAGCAAGCCACTTGGCAAAATCTTTCATAATATCCATACAGGCAAAATGGCATATGGGCTTGATAATAAGTAGTATTAACAGTTACTGAACAACCACTGTGTGAGTTGATTAATGATGTTCATTAATCTGGAGGGAGTCTAGTCAAGCTGCATACTTCAGAGCCCTTTATTCTGTCATTTTAATATTTTTATCAACAACTTAAATGAAGACCCAGTAGGTATGCTTATGAAATATGAAAATGACAAAAAAATTTGGAAAGAACAGATATTAAATGCCTAAATCAAGACTAACAAAATGAAATATAAAAGCCTAATATTCAAGCTAAAAGAATTCATTACAGAAAACCAGGGTTAGGAAGACTTAGTGTAACAGCCTATGTATAAAACATATGGAGTGTAATTGAAACTACTCACTCATTTTAAGCATAAATAACAGAAATTAAAACAGTTAATGAAATATTTGGTTTCAAAATAATAGCATTTAGCTCAAGCAAGACACATCCACCACACACTGTCTGGTCAAATACCATCTAAAATGCTGAGTACAGTTCTGGGTACCCCGTTTAATGACAAGGAGCAACCAGAATTCATTAAGAGAAAAATGACCACAGTTGAAAGATCAGAGAATTACATTATCTAATGAATGATTAAGTAAACTGGGATTGTATTACTCTGAAGAAGAGATGAGAATGCTCAGAGTGTGTGGTGGGGAGGAGTCAGCAGGGTCATGATGGTAGTATTCAAATATCATAAGGGGCCATTCAGGTGGAAAAGGAATCAGACTTGGAGAAAGCAAAATATAATGGAAACAGCATAAGCTATGATGTCATAAAGACCTAGATTCAAATCCTGACTCCATCATTTACCATCTGTTATTTGATGCTTAGAGAGAGAAGAAGTGTCGTTACCTAAAAAATGATACCTACCTCATAAATGGATAAAAATTAAATGCAATTAAGTGTAAAAATGTTTATAAGTTGCCTGGCATAGACTGACACACTGTGATACACAATAATGTTAGTTCCCTTCTCTAGACTTTTCTGAGTTGTTCTATAGGAGCATTTTTCAAACTGATAATTAGCCATTAATGGGTCACCACATCAGCTCAGTGGGCTGTAACCAGCATTTTTTTCTAAAGAAACAGAACAGAAAACATTACCGCTTTACCACATATACCAATTATAGTTTTGTGAAACTTTTGTTTCCATTATTCATAAACATGTGTGTACTAGGCTATGGTATGAAATGTATTTCTTATCATGAAGCTGGGATTGAGAAAAAAACAAAAGAAAACCATGAAAGCCACTGCTGTAAATACAATACTATTTTCTAAGTGTGTTCTAAAGATACTAGTTCCTTGGGAGAGCAAATAAGTTTAGGAAACAAACCATACCACTTAGAGACTTACTATATTCAATACACATTAGCATATTAAAAAAGCCCAGCATTAAAGAAATCTGGTGAGTTTTTTTGGTTGTTGTTGTTGAACCTCGTTTTTCCCAGATATATTTGATCTCAGACCCACAATTATTTTTTTCACACAATATCTACTAACACCTTCAGGACTGGCATTTTGTGGTATACGTTTGGGAAAAAACATTCCTCTAGATGAAAACGAAGGAAATGGGTATAAGTTATAGAAAGTAGACTTTCAGCTTGCTAAGAAAAACTCTTGACTCTTTAAATCTTTCCCTCACTGCTACTAACACCCACTATCCCTTATAACTTATACTCCATACACATACTCCAAAGCACTTTAAATATGATTTTCAAACTTTCAATTCACACAAATCTTTTCAGAAAAAGCACAGGACATCTATAACATCAAGATATGTAACCAGGATCAAAGTAGTAAGCAGGAACCAACTGGCCAAAAGAAACTTCTGGCATAGTATTTTAAAAGACTTGCTTTACCTGAACAAAAACACTGTGATCAGAAACCAAAGCAGCAAAAGACTTAATCAGCTTCTCCAAGGGGAGTCAATGTGTTCTAAGAATACATAGTCTAAAATGGGCTAATGAGTGCAGTTAATCTTCATTATTATTATGAGCATCATTATCATCATCACTTGGAAGACGCATGTGATTGATATTAGATGATTCTGACTTCTTTTAAAGTGTATACATACCTAGGATTCCTTTGTAAGGACGTGATTTCACATTACTATGAAAAATGTCACTACCACAGTCAGTTCTAATAATATTTGGTATCACTTGGCAATAAAATAAAGGCTTGACATCATATATTCAAGAGCATCTCTGTAACTCAAACCTTTCTAATTGAGAGTTACAAATATCTCTAACTCTGCTCTAGCAGTTGTCAGAGCATAAAATGCCCTTCCCACTCTTTCTCCACTCTCAGGCTCCAAAACCACCTCTCCTCAAAGTTTGCCCCAACTAGGCTATTATTTTCTTCTCAATTTCTGAGCACTCTCAGTACTTTTTGTCCCTATCACTCTTGCAAGCAATTAATTCACTGTGTATTTCCTAGCTTATTTCTTTATTCCTCCATAAAACTTGGCTCCCAACAAGACTATAACTTCCTTAATGAACAGGGATCAACATTTAAGAACCTCCCTCAAGATCCTGAAAGCACTCACTAAATATTTCTTGATTTAAACAACTAGGCTTAAGAGTAACAGTGGCTAGTCTCACAAAGCTTATATACCAGACCCATGCTAAAAGCAAACATGGATTAGCTCACATAATCTTCACAACTCTACAGAGGTAAGAACTATTATCTTCTCCATCAAACAGAGGAAGAAAATGAGGCTCTGATTAACTTGCCCAAAGCTGTACAGCTACTAAGTAGCACAGCCAGGACCTGAACCCAGGCAAAGCTCTTAACTACCTCAGTACACTCTGTAAGGGTTGCAGCCCTGCAAAACCGGAGTCTATGAAGGATTTCAACCTTACTAAGTTAGAAGTTTCAGTTTCAACAAAGAGCAGAGATACTTTAGCTAAAAATTAAAACTTTAAAAAAGGATAAATTAAGACAAATTAAGAATTTCCCGTTGACATCTTTATGCAATTACAATAAAACATGAGGGAAACTGCCTCTCATGTCCTTTCTATATATGGAAGTGATATTACGGTGTGGGTCACAATTTTATCAAGAAGTAGCTTATGACAATACAGTTCGGTTTAGATTTTTAAATACGGCTGTTTTTCTCTGCCCCTAGGATGACATGGAAATGAAAGATAGATAACTGTCACTTCACAGCTTCGAAAAATGCCAGACCCAATTCTTGTTTAAAAAATGAGAGCCAGGGCTCTTGTTCCACCCTTGACTCGTCACACAAAGCAGCACCATCCTCTGCCCTCTTCACACAAAGCAAGCGTCACCCTACTACCCAAGGGGGAGTGCTGCTGATCCACACGGTCTCCCCATCGCCGCCAGAAATGTACCCATCTCCCACGGGTCCAAAACACTGACCACTGCCCGGACTTAGATTACCCTGGTCTGCTCCGCGCACCGGGTGACACCTCATCACACCCAAAATACCCAGGCCGCCATCCGAAAGCCAGTATTTCACACAAAGCTGGATCCCTTCCTACAAAGCAGTTTCCCATCTCCAACTCCTCCCACGGCGAGCAGCCCTTCCTAGGCTGTGCCAGCCCCCAGACCCCAACGGGGTCCAAAGCTCAGAGGGTCCCCAACCCAGAGGAGAACTAGGTACAAAGCCTGTTCCTCTCCCAAGCCTCGAAACCCCAACTCTCGCTGACCGTTCCGCAGCCAAAGCAAGAAAACCATGAATCAGAGAGCGGACCCCGCTACACAAAGCGAGGTGTCTTACCAGGGGACCCTCGGAAGACGCTCTCCGCCCCCGGGCCCGTCCCCGCCCAGCTCCGGCCCGGAGCCCCACGCTCACCAGCTCTCCTCCTCCTCCTCCCAGCCTGACAGGCGCTCCAGCTCCTCGGGCCGCAGCGGCTCCACCTCGTCCAGCAAGCCGCCCTCGCCCGCTGCCAGCAAGGAGGTGGCGTCCCGCAGCTCCTCGCTACTCGTCCGCCTCGGGCCCGACCCGGCCCCGCAGCTCGACTTGGCGCTGAGGCCCAAGGGGAAGCCCCTAGGGGACGCGGCTCCGGAGGAGGGAGTGGACGCGCCGGCCCGAACCGGGCTGCCAGGCCCAAGGGAGCCGGCGCCCTGCACGGCCCCGGAGCGGCTCCTCAGCTGTTCGTTCTGCTTCTCCAGCTTCTTCACCAGCTCCTGCAGCTTCCGCACCTCCTGGTCCGCGTTCACATTGGAGTTAATGTCCTCCATCCCGGCCCCGCCGCCTCGGCCGCCCGCCACCCGCTCAGACTCACAGCGACAGCGCCGGCATATATCAGGGCCAGGCCCCACTGCCAGGGTCCCCCCCCTGCTCCGGTTCCGACGCGCCGCTGGCCCCAGCCGAGCCGCCTCATCTGCGCCGGCTCCAGGATTGGGGGAGGCGGCGCCAATATCCGGCCTGGGCCGCCATCTTCCCTCTGTCCCTCCGCCCCCCTCAGCCCGGCCCCGTCGGTGACCTCAGAGCGTCGGAGGGTGGACGGGACGGCGGCGGGCGCTGAGAGGACCCGGCGGCGATCTCGCAGAGGGGTGGGACCACGGGCGAGGCAGGTGGGGCGGGGCTTAAACCGGAAGGGGCGGCCCGGAGCGTCGGCGGAGGCGGGTCACTGCCC